AAAAATAATAACGGCAGCTTTTACGGAGGCGAGGAAGGTAAAAATAGAAATAGACTCCTTCATTTAACTGCAAAGTTCACATCAGCTAGCCTTTTCTCTGGTGAGTCAGACAACATGAAGCTTCAAGTCCTAATGAATGAAGACCATAGTTCTGACATCCAGAAAGTAAGGAGCAACTAGGAAAGCTTCAAACACTCTGGGGGACTATGAAACAGACTCTCTCTGTAGGCGTCTTTTCTTCCATTCTTTTTCTAAAATCAGTTTTCCTCTCCTGCAGAGTCAGACAAGGTGGACATTCTGATTGTGAATAACACAAATATATCGCTCAGCTGCAATTACCTGTCAGTTGAACGTGTTTAAGGAATGTGAGTGAAAACAATTCTTAATGAAATACAAATAAAAATCAAATAAAATCAGAGTGTAATTTGTAGTCTAAATTTGTAGACTGTAGTGTTCAAAGCTTTAAAAACCTACAAACCTTTTAACGTGGTACATTATTAATAAGGGGAGTTTCGTACTCCTTATACAAATTTAAGTTAAAAAATATTAACTGTCACTGAACAGTCACCCCCCCCCTAAATTAGGTACATTTATGGAATTATTTTAAAATTATTACTCTAAATTAATGACAAAGTCAATACGAAACAAATTTTCATTTTATTACAAATTGAAAGAAAAGGGTAAAACGTTTCAAAACGATTTTTTTAGTCCTGATTCCAGTCGTTCCTGCCCAAAGAAAATGTGTCATAAAAATGTTTGAACGTTTTGATGCAATTTATGCAGTTAAAAATACAAATAAGTACAGTATGCTCATGTGACATTGCCTGCACTGAATCTGCTTTGCTGCCTCTAGCATTTCCGCAAAGTCGTTAAGTTTCGGTTTCGTTTCATAAGCAGAACGTCTTGTTTACAGTGTAGACGTATCATATTTGCTAAGGTTAACCCCGTGGACAGAATTAACATACTGCTTAGGGAACGAAGTGTATCAACGAGAAGGCAGAATATCCTTCTGCTCTTTTACTCTACTTTTTGACAGCGTGAAATGGCTGCTTCTACAATAACAAAAATCCTTTGCTCCAATAATGGGGCTATGGATTACAACGAGCTGGTTTTCAATATCGGGTCTGGGTTTTCATCTTCAAATACGGTCTTGCAAAAAACACTGGAAAATAATCCAAATTTTTTAATTGTAACTTCAGATGGAAAAAGGAAAATCATCGCTAAAACAAAAGTCAGGCTCTGCCGAGCCAGGATATGTGATCAGGACTGCAACAATTTACATCTGTGCAAATTTTTTCTATATGGAGACTGCAAATATAACAAGGGAAGGTAAGATTTCTTCGTATTTGTTTTCTAACATGAAGGCTACTGTTATCCCCCTTATTAAACAGGAAATCACACCTGCTTTTCCATACAGCTTTTATAAGGCCTGTAATTGTGTTGCAGCCTTCTTTCCTACTGTGTGTTGATATTAACTCAGATATCATACACAGAGTTGGCATTTAAGCACCTGAAATTTCTCTAAGCATCATTTTTGGCTTTTAAGTTTATGACGTTTAGCTATGTATTATTAGCTAGGCATATATGTTATATATGCCTGGATTATATTTAAGTAAATTCACATAACAATATACATTTTTCTACCATTATTCTTTGTTTTATTATTGTATACAGCAAGAGCAAGATGTGAGCCAGATAATGCTTTATTGCTATCATAGACGTCGCTTCATTACTTTTTTCCTTCTAGTATAAGCGTAGAAAAGTGTTCTGATTAGGTTTAGATTGAGAATTGCTGGCAAGTACTCGCTGAGTTTTATTGCTGTTGAAATACACTGACAGGTGTCATACCCTTTTCATAGAGATTCATTTGTGCTTTTTTCTCTAATGTGAGTACTTTAGACAACAATGGTTCACATTAGAGAGATCCTTTAAGGGGCAATGTAAACTTAATTGTTAATAAGATTTCAGTTCAGATTAAATTACCATTAATCCAATTGCCTGTGGTATACTACAAACCTGGTATTTGATGTTATGTTGTCACTGGGTGAAGAAAGTAAACATAAACACTATCACAGCACTGAGTTTCAAATTTAGGATTGGTGGGTAAGTCTGAAAGTTTTGATTTAATAAAGCCTTAATTTGATTATGAATTAATATAGAGAAAATGTCACTATGAGTCATAGTTTAGTGCCTTTTATGTTGAGCAGGTGTGATTCAACAGTTTGAATGTGTTTAATATTATTACATTCAATTCTCATTGAGTGTTGATTTGGCTTCATTAGTGTTTTCCTTCCAAGAGATGTTGTTCATGTTTAAGGTGGCAGTAGATTCCAAAGTCCCAGGGAAATATTGGTGTGATGTAAGAATGTGTTGTAACAGAAGTTTTCCTAAAAGAAACCCATTTTATGGGGGCTGGGTCTTTCTTTAACCCCTATAACATGTTTTAATATTTTTTAGGGCTAAGATTTGTAATGTTTTACTGCTGGAACTGATTCTTTTGTATTCATCTTAAGGCAGTGACAGCCCAGCCCTGTTCCTGGAGGGCCAACTTTCCTACATTTTGTAGGCCCAGCTGAAAGAAATAAGTCATTTATTTTCAAATGCTTGTATACATATCCTGTGGTTTTGTTAACACTAAATAAAGCATATTCAGTACGATAGTTGCCTACGTAAGTCAGATTTGTCCAGAAATCATTGGGAATACCAGCGATAATAATAATAATTGCTTACACTTATATCGCGCTTTTCTGGACAATCCACTTAAAGTGCTTTACAGGTAATAGGGACTCCCCTCAAACACCACCGATGTGCAGCATCCACCTGGATTTCTGTCCTCTTTAACTGTTTTATATCACTGAATTCTGTGAGCATATTACATCTTTATGTATGTACTGTAGATGCCGTATTCTTTTTAAAAAGTAGTCTTTTTAATCCTCTTTCCATATGAAAATTATGTATTTAAATGCAAACCGCTGTTACTTTATGTCTACATTATATCTTATTGAACAGAGAGATCTGGTATGGTAAAAATGTATATTAATATTCTTGGTGGCTCCATAGATGTCTTTGTAGATGGAAAGGTGAATACAATTCTAAAAAGATTTTTATATATTTTCTTACCTCAACTGTTATGACTACAGGAGAAAGTGCCGTTTCAGTCATGACATGAACTCTGAACAAAATGCCAAAGTTTTGAAACAAAATGACCTGCATGAGCTAGACAGGAGAGAACTGTGCCAACTTCTGCTTCAAAATGATAATTCTCTTCTGCCTCCGGTAAAGTATTTTTCTTCTAATACTGTAAATAAATTCTGACAAAATCACTTGTTTTTACTTGATTAATAGATTAAAGCTTCCTAGAAGCCAGTGCTTCCTTAATATGTATGATGATCTAAATCAGGAGAACGCAATACAAACCACAGGAAATGAATTGACAAACTTTTTTATTACATGCGATATTTTGTAAAACATCTGCTGATCACTTGAGTTGACAGTATGATTTATTTTTTAACCTGTTTATTTTACAGTGTCATGTCAAGGTGATCACAATTGTGTAGTGCTTTATAAATCATCGTATTGTAAAATCACTTGGTGAAAGCATGACATAGAAGAAATGTAAAAAACAAAATCACTAGAGGCTAAGCCTATTTCAGGGTTCAAAGCACTGTTTTACAAATATATAAATTTACATTTTCTAGAAAGAAGTTGACAGTAAAGGTACCATACAAAACATAAGAAAAATAAGCATGATTTACAATGAAACTAATACTTGTTCTGGGGAGAATTTTATACAATTTATAAATGTTAATATGCACCAGTAATCTGGAGCTGATAGATATTTGCACTTTCTGAAAGGACCAAATATATGTTACAACATGACCTTAACTAGACCTTCCATTCAGCGATGAAGCATACATTAAAAAAAGAAAATCTCTTTATTATTACAGTCTAATTCTGTGTACACATCCATACTCTTGCTGTTGTCAGTTTTTGTTCTTTATTGAGAATGCGTGTTTTTCTAAATGGCTATATAAATTAGATTGGTTTCATTTGCACAGTTTCACAGGGTCACAAGCTGTAATGCATTTGGTCCATTCAGGAATGTAGCCTCTGAAAATGGCAGGCACAGATTTATATGGAATGAATATTTGGAAAGTGGCTAAAATAAATAAAATCATTTTGTAATCCAGACAAGTAATTGTATTTAGTATTAGAAATTACCATTAGGTATTTTATCATACTAAATATCATAATAGCATAGGTTTATATCACCCATGATAAAGATATCATTTTGAGATTAAGTATTACAATGATTTTAAGAAAGGAAGAAACATGTTAACATGATGTCAGGAACCAATTTTTTTAGTTCTGATTTTAACAAAGAGGTAAAATTACCTTCTCAAAGGGACTGTTCCCAAATTAATAAAATGAAAACACATGTAGGTTTCCTGGTAGACTGCACCCCATTAGTATAGACAGAAAAACACATTATAATATGTACTGTGTATCTTTTCACCCTATTAGAGCTTCCTTGAGTTATATTATCATGATTTTAATTACGTCTTACTGATTCTTAAAGCTTGCCAGTGAATGGTGGAGCCACAGAGCGTTAATAGAGTTAGAAAAATAGAGAAACATAAAATAGTCCCTTGTGGAGTGGTTCTTCTGTATAAATAATTTGATTATAGTAACAACACGGATGTTTATTTTTCAGGTGTGCAATTCATACAATAAAGGAAATGGGCCATATGGTAATTGTACTGAACAGGAAAGCTGCACAAGACTTCATGTGTGTGAGAAGTATATCCGAGGAACATGTTTGAATTGTACCAGATTTCACAATTTTGATGTGGCTCACCCACTTAAAACCCTGGAAGAGCGAGGCTTACCCAAAGAGCTGATCAGCTCCGTGTTTTCAGTCTACCAAAACATTCTCAGCATGAAGTATGACAACAACAGCAAGATGCCTGAAAAAGGTCCAGAGTGAATCTACTGTATATTTTAATTCTTTTAGAAAACATGTCCTGAGTAATACTGGTATTTAACGCTGACATAGTGAAAAATAATCATTCTCTGAAGGCTACCTTTTTTATTCCTGAAACAGTTCTCTAATAGTCTTGAATGAGAGATATACAGTACTTGCATAGTTGCATTGATGTTACGTGAGTTTCTGTATTTAGTCATTCTGTGGTATACATACTGTAGTGTTTAAATTATGGTCCTTTCACTGTATACAAAACTAAAATGTATAAAGTGGCTTTTAGTTCAGTATTTAAATTGAATATTATTATGATTTCTTAATTAACCTATACCTTGTGTACTGTGATTAAATCTATATGCAGGGTTTAACATATCCTTGGATGCTCAGGAAACCCTAGATTACCTGTATTGAAGTACTGATTTGAGTATCACAGATTGGAAGAAAAGAATGAAAGGGGGAAATGCTTCTTTGAAGTAATTCACCATATATTGTAAATTTTAATTTTAGTTTAATGTTATAAAACATGTGCTTAAAGAAAAATGTAAAATAGTTTGAATATCTCAGTGCTCTAATTAAAAATGCATTTAATTATGCTGTAGTTTGCCAATGCTTATGTTTATCCATACCAACTTATCCACTTACAGTAGTAAGATTGATTTGTAGGTAAAGGAATTTTCATTTCAATTAATTAATTTTTTTCACAGATAAAACAGAGATCTGTATGTACTATGTCTGGAAAGACTGCAAGCATGGAGGTAAGCTTCCTTCCAGAACATATGTATATCGATCTTTTTCACTTTTCTTTCTAAAAATGAATGCATTACATTAGAATATATATGAGATTCCTAGACCCTTGTCATTGATACACTTTCACATTGATACTCCATTCTGCAATAATTAGGTGTCCTTTGTATAGTCTTCTCCACAGAATACATTCCTCAGGCCATAGACTCTCTTTCTTTTTTTTTGACTGAATTGAAAGGATTGTACATTAGATTAGAAATGACAAGATGGTTGGTAGAAGCTGCTAAGCAATCCCTTGCACCTGCTTCTTGAAAGGAGGAAGCTGTCAGTTTCAACAACATGGGCTTGTTCTGGACTCTAGCAACACTTTGAATAAAACATTGCCATCTGTTAATACCTCCTGCTACCAATTTAAAGTACACATCCCAATAATTTCCACTCGTGTCCACGGTTTCACATTTCATTGAAGATTCTGAAGTCCTTTGAGTTGACTTTGTCAGTGCCTTTGAGGATTTACAATATTTGAGCCTTATCCACTCATACGCACTCAAGACATACTATAGATTCACTTGTTTTATTCTTTTATCAATGTAGGACATTCCTTTAAACCCTGTAATGTAGTGAAAGTGAATAAACAATATGTCGACATAAATACTATTCAATTATCTACATTAAATATAATCTTCCATATGTTTGCCATTCTTGAACATTGACCTAATCTGTTTTGAAATGTCTTTTTAATCTCTGTGGGTTTTGCCTATCCTTGTATTTTGGTATGACCTGTGAACTTGGTTGCCCAGAATTCATGCATATAATATCTGCAAGCTGAGGGTAACTGAGGTCTACGTATCCCTAGCAATTGTGAGTTAAGGAAAAACTACATGCAGATTTAATTATACCTCATTAGATGTTACAGGAATTTAAATTTTCTTGCACAGGTTATTATTGATGATTTTGTTCTACATCTGTCTATTAAAGGTAGGTAGGTACTTTGTTAATCACATGCAAGAAATTCAAGTGTTACAGCAGCCCGGCACAATCAACACAGTACAGTACAAATGTAGTAATACAATAAACAAATAAAAAAAATGGAATAATTACAAACAAAGCAGAAAAAGCACACACACACACAAAGTATGAATGTACAGAACACAAGGAAGTTGTAATACACAATATAGATTTTGCACACTCCCAAGCATATTGCACAGAGTAGGTAACTATTGCAACTATTGCACAGTTGTGAATAATTAATAAATTGCCCATTCCACTTCCACGTATTGCACTTCTATAAATCAGAAATAGACACAACACCAGTCAAACAGAGCACCATTTGTTACTGAGGAATCAGGTTTCAGGTGTACAGGTATGGTGTCACAACAAGTCAGTGTTGCTCCTGCCCAGACATATTGTGGTTTGTGGGTTGTAAATATAATAACAGGTTAAAGATTAAAGCTTTGATATGAGTATCAACTTTTCTAAATGATTCTGTTATTTTGTTTCAGTAATAGTTTTCTGCATTGAAAATAAATCATTTCCAATTATGAATACTTTATTTCTTTCCCAGTAGTGGGCATTCTTATTGACTTTTATTATTTATAGTGTAATTAATGTTAGGTTTAGGTTACTTGAGTACAGTGTTGTTTGAACTGGAAAAGTGTTCTTGATATTTCTAACAAATCTTATTAGGTAAACTACATTTATTAACAGACATTTTATTTTATTCTCATAGCAGAAGCTACAGTAGAACATTAAGCACAATTACTAATTTTCTATTTAATCTTTGTAGACAAGTGTAACAGAGTCCATTTCAATATGCCCTATAAGTGGGAAGTTTGGGATGGTGTGGGCTGGTCCCATCTTTCTGACAATGAAGGAATTGAAAAGGATTTCTGTGATCCTATCAAACTATACAGGTATGCTAAAAATGCAGGTATTGTATAAATAAAAATGTTATTTGGAATACTCATAGATCAAATGATCAAATCTTTATGTTAAAGATACAGTACTTTGTTTTATCTGTTGGTAATACAGTTTATAAATATTCTATCTGACTTACATTACAGGAAACATTTGAGATGTTTTAGCTGTAGAGCCAAACTCTTCCCCGTAGCTTTCAAAAATATAGTCCTAGATTACAGTATGTGAAAAAAATACATTTCTCTCTCACACCGTATGTCACTTATCTGTTAACAGACTTGTAATGAACTTGGTGATTACATCCAAATGTCAGATTTTGCTGTACAACACAAAGCTTTGAATTTATTTTTAAAAAATTAAGAAAAAGCATTTATATGTTACAAAAACATTTATACAGTACTTTAACACATTATTTTCTGTCACTGACACAAATTACTCCAATATACATGTTTTTCTCTGTTTTGACTTTCATAAAATGTATGTGGTTTGAGAATAACAGGTTGTTATATACAGTATATGGTAACAATTTTATTGAAAAAAAAAAACATTTTCAGGTTCAGGTGTCCAGATTTCCATAACATAATGGATGTAAATGTACATTTATTTTCAACCATGAATTGAGTATGCTGTGTATTTCTTTGCTACAATTTCAGTTCAGGATTGGACCGTGTGTGTTTTGACACAATGACGAAAGGATCAGCTAAAGTGAGGCGTCTTTCCACAGTTTCATCTGTCACTCAGCCCAGCTTTGTCCTTACCACAGAATGGGCCTGGTACTGGGAGGATGAGAGCGGAAACTGGATTCAATATGCATCATCAGTAGGTTTATAACAATGCAGATTGCCCAGAATTATAAGCGCTGTTCTATACATGTAAGCTTATTCCAGGAAAAAGAAAGAAAGAACCTAAAATATAATTTGACCTAAGGTGAAATAAAATAAAATTGATCATATATCCAATATGATATTCATATTTAGTTATTCTAAACTTCTGGTCTTATCATCCCTTGGCTGAGCATTATGGGATTTCAGTGAGAGATGAGCTGGAAAATAAAAAAATAGCTATTCAGATTGAAGATTAGGAAGCAGATAAAAACTAAATGGCTGCAACAGAAATAAACAAAAATTGGTTCTAAAAAGCATTTATGAAAACATGTAACTAGTTAAAAATGTTGGTTGTTCCTTAATTATGTATTTTATATTTTGTGAACTGGTATTGTATGTTAAATTGTTTAGTTTTTTTCACAATGCTAAACATACATTAAACATTAACAGAAGTATGGCTGCTAGCAAGTCAGTTTCCTGAAAATACAGGTATATATTTTGGTATAAATTGACAGGATGGAATTCATGGTGCCTCATCCATCACAAGTGAAGACCTAGAGAAAAAGTACTTGGAGGATAAAAATGGAGTTGTTGAGTTTACAGCAGGCAGACAGACATATGAACTCAGCTTTCAAGGTAACGTAAAAAAATAGCATTGCTGTCATGGTGAATATCTAATACTGGAATGCAATAGTTTTTGCATCAGACTAAAAACAATAAAAATATACCGATACCACCCCTCACCCCAGATTTCAGTGATAGACTTTTTTTTAATCACTCCATTTATTTGCAGATTTCATATTCCATCTCTTTTCTTGTCTCCTGTACCCTTTCTCACATTCTCTTTCTTTTGTTCACCCCGCATTTGCATTTCCCTTTGCATTGCCTGCTCTCCCTCATATTCCAAAACACCTGATGAAGCTCCCACAGCAGAAACATTGTTCATCATTTCTATCTTTTCAACATGGAATTAATTAATTATTCTGATTGTTCCTTTGCTCTTGTAGAGCTCCCTACTCAGACCAGTATTTATGTGTATACTGTATTTACCTGTATACACACACTCTAGATTCCCTTCTGTAACATGATATAGGGACTACTATCCTCTCAGTTATATTTATATATTTACATAAAGTTATATTTTCATTACCATCATTCTTATTCTGCAGACATGATTCAGACAAATAAACGATATGGAACTAAAAGGCTGGTTCGAAGGCGCCCAGTGTTTGTGTCACCATCAGATGCACAGCTTATCAGAACCAGGTAAGGAGGAATGGTGAAACTTCTGGGCCTTCATTTAATGTTTTATTTGCTTTTAGTTTTCAATATTTAAATTTGACAAGAATGCCCACTAAACACAAACTTGATCTACAGTTTATTGATTACACCAAAAAATAATGTAAGGTACCAATTAACATGTTAACTTCTATATTTCCCCAAAACACAATTTGAACAGGGTTCTTTTAGATGTAGTATGGAAATGTAGTGGAGTGTTGTGATAGCAGGTGTATTTTAATAGGCAGATCTTGGTGTTGTGGGATACACAGCCACAAGATAAAAACAGTGCTCTTTTATGTAAGAGATACATTTTTGAGCTCTAATTAAACTCCTGTAATTCTTCTCTTTAAACAACTGGGCAGCTAAACTTCTTAATAATACAAAAATCCAGAAAATCCTACGAAAAACCATAAACAATTTCTAAAACATAAAAAAGGCTCTGCTTTTTTGCTAGACAACATAGGCTGGCCAGTTGCTTTTTTCCCTCTCTCCAGCCAATGCACCACATAAAATAGGCTCTGATGTCTCCACTGCCTGGTTTTTTATTGTCACCCAACTAACTAATAGTCTTCCTGCAACTAGATAGGTGATGGAGGTCAGCAGGTCATTTACTACAGCTTCCTAGGGAATATGGTTCAAATGAGAACCACCATCATGTGTTAACCTGCTGCCCTCTCGCATTATGTAGTACTGGGTTACTGTGTAAAGAACTTTTAAATTCAATTTCACAAATTTTTTAATTGTCTCAACAAGATAATGTAATCAAAATTTATTTAGTAGCAAAAGCTAAGCTAAAAGTGCTTGAATGGTCTGATGTTGAATCTAATTGATTACATTTGAGTTCACTCTCAAAACTTGATTTAAGACGGCAGTTCTCAGCTTGTGATCCACAGGTCCTCTGAAGTCCATCTCCATCACAAATAGAAGCAACTTAATATGAGAGATCCCATTCTGAATCAAATTTCACAAGTCGATACTTACTTGGCACTATACAGTACATGTATCACCTAGCCACATTGTTATTTATGATTTAAAACACCTGCAGAGTGTAACTGAAGACTTTCTAAGGAAGCAATTAAACCAGCATTACTTTTGAAACAAATGACATTATTGCAGAAAGCATTGACAAGCCAGGGGAGTATTTTGAATGGAAGCAGAGTTTCTTACAAAAAAAAGTACTATACTGTACAAACTGAATCAATGGTTTCTTCATGGTTGCAGTTAGAATCACTAAAAAAGTAAGGTATGTTCCTTTACCAAATAATGCATCAAAATATAACAAAGAGAGAAGTGAGTTTTCATTTTGCCCTTAAAGTAAAGAAATATTCCTTCAACTTTAAGAACACAGTCACAGTCACTTAAATTTAAAGTTGACTTCTTTAGTGCTGAAATACTTGAAGTTACCTGTTTAACAAAGAGAAGGTCCAAAATGCTGGAACACTAACCTTTGTGCAGTAGTACCCACTCACTGATACTCTTTCATGGTCCACTTGAGAGAGAGAGAAACAGAGCTTCCACCAAGCACATTAAGTGAATGTCTTGTTATGGAACTTTTGTTGAATGAACCTTTAGTTCATTCAACATAATATTTTTCATACAGGTCATCTTCCTAGATGTTCTGTACCTCTCATTCAACGGCAGACTTTTTGGCCTGTTAATTCGGAGGTCACATGAACTACCACAGGTCTAGACTCAATCAAATCTAACTTGTACTGAAATGATGATCAGCCTGTCCTCTAATATATTCTGTGCTGGTATCCCTAAAATTCCCCTGACACAACAATATGAACTCTTTTCTCAAATTTGAGTGTTCAGCATTGCATTTAATAAACACAATTCTCCCTTACTGGTTTTATAAAATTGATAATATTTTTTCAGCTTTACAAATCCATCATCTGTATAATTATATACCTAGACCTACTTATAAGAGTGTTTTGTGTAATTAAACATTAATTTTCTTATAACTGTTTTCTGTTTTATACTTTACAGAAAAAAAGGACTTAACAAGGGCATTTCTCATGATTTCAAAGCTGTCCCTTCTTACTGGGATAAATCATCATTGCTTGAAACCGGATACAAGGCACTGTATAATTTTACATCTCTATTGTGTTTATGTTCTGGCTGTTGAGGGACACTCAGTATTTTCATCTTTGCATGTTTTTTCACTCATTTGAGCTATGATTCCATCAGTCAGAACTTTCCCCATTTTTAATGAATTGCCAGCTTCTGTTAAAAGTAAAATTAACATAATGAGACTGATGGCCTTTGTAACTGTTAAGCAAAAATGCCTTTGTAGAACATAGAATACATAGGGCCTTTGTTTATGAATGTATCAAGAGTTTTACAGTTGAATAACATTGACTTTGATCATGTTATCTTTCAATTAGCAGGTTTTTATAAGGTTTCTCATTGTTTTAATCAATATCTAACATGTTAAAACATTTAAAGGAAGCACTAGTTTGACTAATGGGTTAATAAATAAATAAATCATGCAATTTATACTACTATTAAACTACTTTTTACCTGTTAGCTAAACTTAAACTGTATTGTTTAAGTTTAGCTAACAGGTAAAAAGTAGTTTAAGAACATTTGTATTAACTTTGTATTTAATGAATTTGTAGACTGAATACTCACTTTAAGTAATTGCTTAAAATATGAAAATAAGTTACCTTGCTTTACAAAATAAACCGATAATAAAAGTCTTTTATTTTTAGTTGTTCCTCACCCTTTTCTGCCTCTGAGGAACCTAATGGGTTAGATTGCAAAGAATCCCATAACATGAAGTGCATCTAATATAATACACAGGCAGTATTCAGTTCCCATATTTTCTTCTCCAAGTCAACATCTTATGTTGTTTTTTCCAGAAAATCCTCCTGCAGAAATCTACAGCTGAGTACCAGAAGATAGAAAACCTTTTTAAAAAGACAATGATTGGATTCACCATTTCCAGACTTGAAAGAATCCAGAACAAATCCTTATGGGAAGTCTTTCAATGGTACATTTCATTACTTAAAGTTTGTATTGTGTCCAATAAGTGAGTAATGAAATTCAGCTGAATACACACGGCTGACTAGACCTTTTGCACAGAACTCTAGTCAGCCATCCACATTAACATCTCCAGTTTTTAATGGTCTTATTTTCTTTGCTAGAAATCCATCTAATAGAAATCCACAATTAGATACTGGGTGTGTAATTTGTTTTAGGTAAGTGGATTAAAGTTTGGATTAATTGCAAGATTTAGAGACATAAGTCAAGTCAGTCTGAATTTTTCAAAATGAGCATGATTTGCATTGTAGTACTGACTGATCACTTATATAATCCAACACCTTTTCTTTCACAACTGCAAATTACATTTTCTCCAAGAACACTTGAACATAACACGGGGCATTAAAATTCTTTTTTGAATAGTAAGATAATGTACATTTTACCCATGGTTAAAAAGAACTATATTTAAGGCTCAAGGTACTTATATGAACCATGCAAAAACACAAGCAATTTTAATAATTATTTTTGAATATAACAACATTTTAATTGGAAGCTTATTATCCTGTCAATCTGTCTTGAGATATAAATATTAAATGATATTAAAAAGTGACCAAGTAACATGCTGCAGTAAGTCTACTTCCTATTGGTTTTGTGTAACTTTAGTTCCTGGAGAAAAAAAATAAATATGGATTGGGTAGCACAAACTAGTGAGACATCAGTTCAGCACAGTATATATATATCACTGTGTTTTAATATTTGCTTATTCATACATACCATTACACAAAGTAGTGATGAAGTAGTAATGTTACTAGAATTTAAATGTGTTGACCTGAAATGCCACCTTATACAACTGGTTAATACTTTCTTGGGATAGCTGTTAGGGCTGTAAATTAGAACAGAACTATTTTCATAAAACAAGATTTAGATTAAATATCATTGTTTATCTAGCAAATAGTTTGATTTTCTTAATCATTATTTTTTTTGTTCCAGGCAAAAAGAGCAAATGAAAAAAAATAATGCCAGGCAGAACGTCAATGAGAAACTGCTTTTCCATGGTACAGATACAGCATATGTTGATGCTATTTGCCGACAGAATTTTGACTGGAGAATCTGTGGAACACATGGAACAGCCTATGGAAAAGGTAGACTCACTTCTTATATTTTAACTGGTGTTAATCACTTTCAGCTATGTGGTCCTTGTGGTGCAGACTTTGACTTTTCCTCACACTTCTCAACCTTAAGTCTAAATGTTAAGAGATTTCCTTCAATGTTTTAATATTAGATCATTTTGTGTAGAAAACAGTAAATATCTCTGCATTTTTTTTGTTCCAAACACATTTTCTCAAGTGTTTTTTTATCAAGTGTAAAGATATACATACATACATGTACTGTATATGTCTTGATGAATAAAAGTTGTATATGATGCAAAATAGAAATAAGTAGTTTGTCACTGTGCTGGCCTAGAAAGAAGAGTAAAATAGGCAAACGTATTGTCCATACAAATGTCCATAATACCAAAGTAAAATCTGTATAAAACTCACAATTAAAGAGAGATTTTAAAAGAAGTTGAGGTTTTATGTTTATCTGACAAATCCTATTATTTACTGTATTTGTACTACAATTTGTTATAGAAATCTCTCAGTACTCATACTAAAAATGCTATTTTTTTTTCCTTTACAATTTTCGTTTCAGGGAGCTACTTTGCGAGGGATGCCAAGTATTCTCACAGCTACACTGGCTCTTCTGCAACCAAAACCATGTTTGTTTCCTGGGTTCTAGTTGGCCAGTATGCAAAAGGAAGCTCTAGTTATCTTCGTCCTCCCTCAAAAGATGGTGGAGACACAATTTTCTATGACAGCTGTGTAGATAACATCTATGATCCCTCCATTTTTGTGGTGTTTGAAAAGCACCAGATCTATCCAGAATATCTTGTACAATACAGTGAGGACATTGTGCAATCTGACCCACTATATACAATGTATTCCTATCCAAACTCAACTGCAGTGCCTACTCCTCAACCAAAACCAAGACCGGCACCAAGCTCATACAGAAACCAATATGTAAACTCACCTGTACACTATGCAACACAGTCAACTGCAGTGCCTACTCCTCAGCCAAAACCAACACCGGCACCAAGCACATACAGAAACCCTTATACATATGTGTCCACAAGCCCCTCAAGTATATCAGACTCCTCAACAACTACTTCATCAGTCTACAGTTTTTCAACAAACCCACCACGTTCGAAACCTAAAGATACATGCATCATCTCTTAACTTCAAGATTTTCATTTTGAAAAAAATGTAAAAGAATGAGTTATTAGTCATGGATTAATTTTTATATGCCTTTTAAAGATGTAAATTTCAGGGACATAGTTGTTCTCAAGGGCTCCAGCATGCTCCCAACAATCACCAGGGTGCCTTATTGTATTGTCATGTGATTGTTATTTTGTTCTAAATCATTTAGTTTTCACTTTATTCCATTTCATTAATGTATTTGTAGTAGCACATATATAAGAAATATGCATATTTGTTTTCATGTCTGTATTTGACTTTCAGATACTGTATATTGGCTTAAATTTATGGGTTTGTTTAGACAATCTTGCAGTAATAGCTAACCCCACAAATATGTCAAAGAAAATGCAAGGTAAATGTAAAGATCATAATATTTTAAAATGAGGAAAATGCAACAGATCAAAATATTTTACTACCATTTTTCTGCAACATATTCTAATAAAAAATATCCCTCCTTGTTTGATGTCAGTCCTGCAAAAGCTGTCTCACAACATTGGTAGTGGCACCATCTGTTGTTGTCTGCATGGTGTACACCATTTCCTAGAGAGTGTTTAGCTTGTAATATTTTCTTTTTCACTCTTCTCTCAAGCTCATCTGGATATGACTGGCACTATGCAGAAACAAAATTAATTTGATACTTTAGGTGCTACTTTGGAGAGTGTGGTAATTACCATGGCTCTATGATAGGAGGTTGATATTTGCAGATTTAAGGTGTGTTGACACTTGCATGCTAAAATTGTTTTGCTTGGATTTGTTCCACAATGCTTCTTTCAGATTTGAGTGAATAAGGGGAGCAGCTCATCTTTCAATGATGTCACTGCAAGGCTATTACAACAAATCACAGGACTTGCTGCTTTAATTAAGTTTGTCACCAAAGGAGCTCTTAGTGACTAATTCCAATCCTACCCTGATTGTGCTTTCTCAGCTGAGTCTTTTGGAGAATCCCAGTCACAGGCATCTAGACATTTTTGTCTGCAATATTTGTGTTAATATAAATCTATCAATTAAAATAGTCATATATAAGTAATATATTAAATTAGCTAATAGGATGCAAAGTTGCATGTTGAAAACCTTTGCTGGGATAAAGAAAACTTCAAAAATAACTAATTTAGAGCATAGATTAAGTCCCACAGTGTAGATTCTGCTACTTCAAGCCTGATTTAAGAGGCTGTCGATGAGTTTCTCCTCAGTTTGCCATGCAGCAGTGACTCCTGTGGCTTGGTGGATACCACAGATCTTGTGCTAGAGCTATCAAACCATATGAAATTGCCTCCTATTCTGATTTAGGTTTTACAATTTATATAATGTGATAAACTGTTTTACTTAAGCTGTGCTTAATCAGCAATTGGTTCAGCATTTTTTTATCTTAGTAATACTAAAACCTCCTTTTAGTGTTATAATGATGCAAACCGTCTGCAACACTTTTTTTAATTGATATGTAAAAAGTGTTCAGTCATTACAACTATGAAATTCATGTAATAATAAAAGCAGATGGCTTGCTAATTGCACTAAAGATTTTGACTTTTTTTTTAAATATCAGCAGAGTAAGAACATGAACTTTGAACATAAAGGTTCTTGCTAAATATATTCACAGTTGTGGTTGGGCACGAGGCAAATGTCTGACTTACTGATGCATAAAAATGAAATTTCTTACACCAGCACTTCTTTACCCAGTTTCCGGCAGTAAACTTAAGTGTGTCACCTTAGTTTTTGTATATTAAGTGGACCGTCAATCTTTCAGGTCCTCCTGAGATTCCAGCTCTTTCACAGTGTTCCTCTCAGGAAAGACTGCACAGTCACTTCTTCCTAGGTTGCTAGTTCACATGTCACTAGATTCTCATTGAGTTTTAATTCTCTTAATTATTCAGTAAGCACTGCACATGCTAATCACACATACTAGATCCTTGCATTAACTCATCATTAATCATCCAGGAACTAGACGTATTTGACCCTATTAACTCCGCATCTCCTTTTTCTTAATCTCCAATTGCCACTATTCACTTTAATACAACTCTGTCACCTTATCATAATGTTAGCTAAAATGATTACTTCAAATGAGACTTCAAATCTTACAACTTCAGCAAGCACCAAATCTTCACAAACAGCCACTGACTCTTTTGATCACTGTCGTTCTGGGCTGATCTGGTGTGTCCAGGGATACTTCTCTCCAAGTGATACTTGCATCACTGACACAGCCAGTTTGCATTCTCTCATCACACACACTGCGAGTCCACTTCTGTCTCCTGATGGGAAGTCCCAGGGCGTACTCTGTGCCATCTAGACTCCTCTATCACAGCTGTGAGAAGATGGTATGCTGCTATATTGCCAAGTGATGTCCCACTTCTCCAGGAATCAACGCCTCCAGTTAGCCCTGGTTCAGCCAGGAAACCCTGATCCTTGGCAGTACCTGCTAAATGAACTGCCACACAGCACACCTGACCAGAACCTGTAAGGCCCTTAAGTACAACTGAAGCAGTTTTCTCAGGTCTATAAGCCAGCCCAATACATTATTATCTCGCCTCTCTACTGTTTTTATAAGCCTTTTAATGAGTCCAAAGGAAAGGGTGATTGCATGCAGAGCCTATCCCAGCAGCTCCTCTCCCTCACGTGGAATTTCCCTCCCTCTGAGTGCTAATTAGACAGAGCAGCTGGGCCTCATTCTGCATGGCTCTCTTATAAAGGCCTCTCCCACTGCCTCACAGTACGTTCAGTCTGAGGTTTCTCAGGCATAAATTGATTATGTGTTGCATTTATATTATAGCAATTCTATATTTTAAAATAAGAATGTGAAATCATGGATTTTACTAAATGCACAAGTGATTACTCAGGTATGTCATGTATTGAGTAAAATATGTATTTTTAAATTTGTATTCCTTTTAATTCCTTGATAATTTTTACTATAACATTACAAAATAGTAAAATAATTACATTGTTTGGAAAAAAACTGGAAACAAATATTATTGTTTTATCATTATTCTAGTATAATTAGAATATCTTAGCAACATGGAATATTAAAGAAGGTTCTGCACCCATGGCCACGAAGTGTCTGAAATGTGGACAGCACTGTTGTATGCTTGGGTATGATGCTTTTACTCAGTTGCTTCAGGCAACCCAGTTGGAAATGGGAACCAGAAATCATAAGGATATTTATCTACATCTGGGTGTAATGGGGCAGCATATTTTCTTGAAGGTATTGAAAATATCAAGAAGAAATTTATGGTTTATAATGAAACAGGACAAATACAAAATTAAGTAAAGGTCACTCGTGAATTAAAGTGTTTACACAGGGAGTTCTTATGTGGCTGACTCCCCAGGGTCTTTAGAAACAGTTAGGTGAGATAATTAAATTACTGAACTGCTAACATTCATGATCATGACAGACTGAACAGGCTCTATTTTATAACTTACGTTCTAATTATTTAACAGTCAAATAACAGTAAAATATCCCTAATAAACCTCTTGGAAAAACAACTGTGAAAAGGTCATTTACATATATATTGAAATTTTAGCCTACAGATACCGTATATAGTAGCTGACTTCCACGTGTACACACATACATGTTGTTACTTTTTATCATCAAAGACAAAATAAAAATGATGGGACTGTTATTCAGTAATATTGTATCATTTTTCTTCAGATTTGCAAACCTGACTTTTTCTGTTTCTCCATAGGTTCCTTAAGAGGAAAGATACCCAATTGGCAGAACCCTCTCTAGGTTGTTCTGCATTCTTGAGTATTTTAGACCTAAAATTGATTTTTTTATCTTCATGAACATCTTAATAAAAGGTGAAAATAACTCGATTGAACATAATATATTTGACATTTTTATTATTTAACAAATTGTTATTCTGCTGTGAATAGTTTGTGAACCCCCATAGGGTACCGTTGATAGTCATGTCTTTCCTACTTATTTAAAGCTATGTTTTACAAAATGTTATTTATTTTCTTATTTTTGCATTTTACGGAGATTTTTTCCATATTGTATTTGTCTTAGTTTAGATTACTATACTGTTAAATTATATTGTGTCATGTTAAGTACGCTCTTGAAGTGTTCAATAATTATTTTTATTTCTCCTACTGCCAACGTCCGCACTAATGTATTGCAAAAGGGTGTTGAAGTATTGCCCGAACTGCCATTACCGTGTCTTTTTTATTTTAAATTTTCAGAATTTATTATTTTACATTTTGATTTCCTGCATTACCGTCGATTATTCCTGTATTGTATCTGATTTTCTGCATCATCTGTAATTTTCCTCTAATTTTCACGTTTCTTCCAGTAATTAGTTTCTGTGTTTGTGGCTCTTACTGAGAAATATTTGCACTTTACATTGAACGGCCTTTCATACGTAGGTGTTACTAACAGTGACAGTGAAGAAATCATAAGAGTATCGAAACTAATAATAATATGCCTTTAAGTGAACTTCTCTTCATTTTTTCTAATTATACGTTTCCTGTAAACCAGACTTATGCATTGTTCATTATCAAATATTTTTCTCCTTAAATTTCTCCGGTGTATTTTTTAAAGTGCAAGCTGCCAGATTGTGTCAGTGAGAGTTACACCTTTCAGTTTTTGTTTCCCGGTAGTCTGTAACATTAAGGAAGCAGCAGGCTTCTTAGACTAACACAAAATGGCTGTGGACGATATTATCGGCTATGCCATGAAGATCCTTTGCTCGAATGGAGGATCGCTAGAATATAAACAACTGAAAGATGGGGTTGAACATTTGAAAATTCCAGATTCGGTTTTTTCTCGGATTCTCAGGAATAGCAGGAACTTCATCATAGTCCCAACTACAGAGGACACAAAAACGAGCCGTGATCTTAACTTCAACACTAAAATAATTGCTAGAACTTCAGTGCGTCTCTGTAAAGACTATTCTGGAGATGGCTGTGGTGGTTGTAAAGGAGTTCATATTTGCAAATCTTTTCTTAGTGGGAAGTGTGGGAATCAAAGGTAGGTGGAATAGTTTTTGCTCTTGGTCATTTCAGACACTTATGTTGAATAGAAACTGGATAGCCTTTATCGGCAAACAAAATAAAACACGTTTTTTTTATTTCAAGGCTCATGTGAATTGTAAATAAAGGAGTCAATAGTTTATTTACTTCTCAAAGTGAAATTACTTTTCTTGTTTGTAATAAACAATGCCATAGGACTGTTACCTGAACCAAGTTATCTTTTTAAAACAGTTGTGAAATACCTGTGCAGATTAAATACAAATAAAATGTTTATTTGAATACAGATTAAATTCTGCTTTTTTCCACTGCTGTGAGCTGTAGTCTTTAAGTGGTTTCATTTATGCCGTTAACTGCAATTAAAAAAATGTTTACACCGACTATAATAACGTATTTTAAAGACAATTTCTGATACTTTACAGTTACATCTTGTGCCGTTTCTGTATTTTTAAATAGCAAATTTAAAGTAAGTATAACAATAGGTGTTTTGTGATTGTGTCGGAGACTTCTCTGTCTTTCTCAGGGGGACGTGCCAGTATTCACATGACCTGCATTCACCTCATAATTTACAAGTCCTCAGGGATAATCAGCTTCTTGACCTGAATATAGATGAACTGTTCCTCTTACTCTTCCAGAATGACCCCACCCTTCTGCCAGAGGTGAGGCACTTATTTAAATGGCTAATACTATTGAAAACTCACAGTATAGTGAGTTATTGCACTGAAGAACAGGTCAGTGACATTATGCAGAATGAGTCATTGTGGAATAGATATATCCACAGCACAGTCAGAGAAATTAAGTTGAAGAGAACACATGAGCAGAGACATGTTGGTGTAATATGAAAAAAAAGTAAATTGTAATATATACAGTATGCACATACAGTAACTAAAATACTTCAGTAAATAACTTACAGTATTAAGAGTTTTTTTATACAGAAACAAGAACATACATTCTTAATTAGCAAACGGAGGAAAGACTTCTTTAAGTACTAAGCTGATATTCACTGAAATAATATACTTTAGATTATATTTGAAACCATGACTGAGTGTAGGAAAAGGTCTAAACAAGAAAGCAGATCAATTACAGTACATGCATCAGTTAGCTCCTGTGATTAAAGGCCCAGGTGGAATGTGAACAAGCAGACATAATGGCCCCTCAAGTCTGGGGTTAAGAACGATTGCTCTAAATCAGTGACAGTGAACACTACAGATCTCTGTGGTGACCTGCTGAAAGCTGAAGCAGAAAAGATAGAGGGGCTGCCATCTGGATATTTTGCAGTGTGCGACAGCTTCTGTGTTTGACAGCCCCTAAACATTTATGTAAATAATGTTAATACTTAACGCCTCATAGACTTGTCACCAAACCATGGCAGACAATGCAATTTTATTTCACCGTCTACCAACACAACCTGTAGTTGAACAGTAAAACAACACAGCCAAGAATTATTCCCCACAACCACAAAATGTCTAATGCAAATTAGTGTCAGAATCCAAACCAGAAATCAGAGCCTTGAGAGAATTCAACAAAGCCAGCTTCATTTGAACTGCAGAACAGGAGAACATCAGTGACAGAGTCCGCTGTCTCATGAATAATTCTCAAAATTAAACTGCAGACACAGCTGCATATGTACACCTAGTTTGTGCCATTCATAAGGGCATTCATTTTCCAAAAGGCGATTGTTTTTACTATTATCATATCTCAGAAGCTCAGTCATGCTCATCCTGTTCTCTACCTCCCTGTTTATCATGAGCCCCTGTTACTACATTTTGTCATAATTGTTACTGTAGTGTCTAAGCTCTCTGTGAGTTCAAGGTTAGGTGTTTAGTCTATACAGCCTGAGCCTTTCAACAGCATATGTTTGTCATACTTTCTCAATGAAACAATGTAGAAACAAATAGCAAGCTTAACATGGAGTAGCAATTAGTTCTTTTTTAAGCCTGTTACCTTTATCATTGAGAAATTAGATTGTATTTTAAAAAATATCTAACCTACAAAATGTTTCTCCATAAATTCAGTAACTGCGGATGGGCCATAATGAAACAGAATGTGGTCTGCGGACTCTTCATGAGCCCTGCTCTAGGTAGAGTTCCATGAAGTCTTTGAGGCAGCCCAACCTGCAGTTACAGGTTTTGTGATCAGCCTGCTACAATCAAATATTCATAGAACCAGAAAATAAATGTAGATATCCACAGGCATTTTGTTTCCCTTATGTCAAGACTCTCATCTTTTAAATGATTTTTCTGAATCTCTGCTCTGTTTTTTGCAATTCTAGCCTATTTGTGCCTATTTTCCAACTTTCAATTTTTTATTGTTTCTTTTTCTTAAAAAATATATGTATTGAAAGATTATTTTACATATTGGGTTCATCAATATCTTAGATGTGCAGGTTGGTTAATCACATAGCTTCAAAAGGGGTGCCATTATGACTGTGACTACTTTGAATCTGGACTTGGGTGCTAGCATATGTGATCAGCATTGTATTTAGGCAGGAGTGCAGAAAGAGAGATGTAGGACGAAGAAACAAAAAGGAAGGAGAGAAACATGAGTGAGAGACATTTTCAGCACTACTGTTTTACTTGGATTCTGTTTTGGTTAATACAGTCTTATCATGGATTTGGAAATTAATAGATATAGTTGAAATTTGTGAAAATGAACTGCATTTATATATTTCCAGAAGTATTTTACTTTTTAATTTATTTAAAAATAAAAGTTATTTGATTTCTATTTTATTTCTCGGTTTCACACTCTTGATTGTATTTGGATGAATTATTGTACTGTATATGGACCAATGGTGTTTACTTTTAGCATTACTGTAGACCAACACTTGTCCTAGAAAGCCATAGTCCTGTTAATTATATAGGTCACCATAAATCATCTACTATTTGAAAGATTAGTAACTCTAAAAAGGTATTGATCAATGAAGAAAGTAATTTCTTAAGTTAAGTAAACTGATCCTCGAGGACATCCTGATTTTTATATTTAAATGGAAGCATGGTGGTCTGCACTGCTGACTCTTGGGTCCAGGGATCCTCAGTTCCGCTGGGATAAGGTCTGTTTGGATTTTGTAATCCCCTCTGTGACCTGATTAGGTTAATTGACATCTCTACATTACCCACCATACACATGTGCAAGTGAATGTGTGTTTGTCATGCTCTGGCCTGGTACACCAGGGTTATCCTGATTCATGCTGGTTAACTGCCAGGTGGGTCTCACTACAATCATGCACTCAGCTAGGTGGTTTTTAATGGATGGATGCTTAATTACTTAATTTAGCAAATTGTCCGTTTAATTAAACAAAATTAAATTGTTCTAGGTCCTTAGAAATGGATTATATTGTGATTACCGATAAATCTGCCTGGACCCCTAAAAACTACAGTTAGAGATCCATTGTTTAGTGTGTTTTGTTAAAGACGATAAAATATGATTTAATATCCTTATTCTAGTTGTGACTGTTTCTTGTCAAACATGGACCACTAACTCTTGTCTGGACCTACAGGTATGCATGCACTACAATAAGGGAAATGGAGAATTCGGTTGCTGCTCCTTCAAAGGACGCTGTAAGAAGCTCCATCTCTGTCTCCACTTTCTACAAGGCAACTGCAAGTTTGGTGCTGCATGCAAGAGGTCCCACTCCATCGATGAAAGAATACATAATGTTTTGAAGGAAAGCGGTCTAAGTGTACATCTCATAAAAAAGTTACCTTTATTACTGTGCAATAATCACATAATTAATAAGGAGAAGAGCAGCACTGAAGGTACAACAATATATAAATATTTTATAATTGTTAGCCTTAATATTTTAAATTTGGAACCCCAATTGTTGATGCATACAGTATATCGCACTTATGATTTAAGACTGTCTTAGTCCCTTGCAACTGAACATGTTTGAGCCTCACTGAAACATTGCAACACACCTAGAAAATTCTCAAGCTTACAAGTATTACAAGAGAAGCCAAAGATGTAATCGATTCAAGCCTACCTATGCAGGGGGTGCCTAAGTAATTGTGAGATGTTGCATAGAAAACAGTCACAGTCAACTAATTATATAGCCCAGGATTGAACAAGAGGTTTCTGAACTCTACAGAATTCATCTTCCTCTCTGTGTGAGTTCCTTTATTGTCTGAGATGCATGAGAGTCTTGGAATCCCCCTATGTACACATTTAATTTAAATTATACAATGCTTTTTAAAAAAGTATCATTTTTTATAATATACTATATTATACAGGATGCTATTCAACGTAAATTGTATGGGTTGCAAACAGAAGTTACTTAGTTAAAAAAACATTTTTTATTTTTTAATAATTCAGTATCTCTCACTCATGTTTTTTGCATCATGTACATCTTCAAACACTGTTAAGCTGTACTCAAATGATTTTCATTTCCAATATAAAGCTAAGTTTTACAGAATAGTACATTTACCTTTGGCTCATACTGTATATTTAGTTTATTTTTCACAACTTGATTATCGTACCACTTCCAAATCAACCCATCTTTTCAAATTATAGACTGTATTGAAAATAAAATAGACAAACATAAAAACATTACTATTTGAAATTTGAAAGGGCATAAGATAAATTACACTTTGATCTCTGTATTTATTATATTTAAATTAGAAATGTGAGTTAAGGTGATCAAAAACAAAAAATGCATTTACAGTATGGTTCAGAAGGAGCATGTTAAATAATTATACATATACTATACATGTCTAGATAGACATCAAGTTACATTTTTATGAAGAATGTATGACATGTATGACAGGAAAAGCTAAAGTAAAAAAAAACCATGAAAGATATAAAGCAACAAGTAGAGATTAATTCCATAGTGAAAAATTATAAAACGAAACGATATAAGGTTTTGCCTGTGGAGCCTTCACTACCTGTCTGTATAAGGCTAGAAGGCTGTACAGCTAAAAATTTACTCAAACTCTGTGCCATCTCAAAAGTAACTTTTATCTTGATTCCAAGCTTCAACTTTTTTGTGTTTCTTTGAAGGAAAAAACATGTTTGAAAAAGAATTTCCACTCAGTAAAGTGACTGGCATGGAAATTTGTCTTTTTCACATCCGGAAACAATGTACTTATAAAGGTAAGCTACTTTTTACCTGAAGATTATGTTTCAATGTATAGAAATGCAGTGTTATGCCTGTTAAATAGGCCTTGTATCCTAATTAGGGTTTACTCACATCATGTCTTGAATAGGGGTCAGCAACCTTTATGAAGGGGTGTGCCAAGAGTTAGTTCTTGCACTTGTTTTTACAGATTCATTGATACTTTTTCCAGTGTTACTAAAAGCCCTACTTACACTTTGATTAATAGAAATAATAAACCATTAAGTGTCACAGAAAATATTATTTTTTATGTCAGTTTGATGTCTTGATGTCAGTTCCTCTTTTCTCAAAATGATTAATATATAATTATTTTATATTATGGGGCCAACAGCCATATCACCCTGCAGCTCTCAACTGGCTACCCACTGAGTCTGATCAGTACCTGGATGGGAGACCTGCAGGGAAGCTATGGTTGCTGCTGGAAGTGGTGTTAGTGGGACCAGTGGGGGGTGCCCACCTTGCAGCCTGTGTGGGTCCTGATGCCCCAGTATAGTGACAGGGAAACTATACTGTAGTGTGTGCCGTCTTTCGGATGAGAGGTTAAGGTCCTGACTCTCAGTGGTCATTAAAGATCCTCAGGCATTTCTCGATAAAAGTAGGGAGTTATTCCGGTCTCTTGGCTAAATGTCCCCCCTCGGCCTTTACCATGGCCTCCAAATTGTCCCCATGTAGGATTGGCTTGCACTTGCCCTGCGATGGACTGGCACTCCATCCAGGGTGTACCCTGCCTTGCACTTGTTGCTTGACGGGTAGGCTCCGGCTACCCATGACACTGTATAGTATAAAGCAGTTTGGCAAATTACATGGCATTTTATATTATAAATGATAGCTGTATCTTCCCCTGTAGTTTTGCCTTGCATGGAATTTAGGTAGTACACCTCTTCTCGAATTCCATCTGAGTCACATTATCTCACAAGAATTACTAATGTCAGCATGTAATTTATATTCACAAGCTCAGGGAACAAACAGCACAGTCTTTATATTGAACAGATCTGAATTAATCTCTTCAAAAGTTCTGAAATGAGTGCAACTCTTAAATTTGCTTTCTTAGCAGGTGCCATTTTGTCTAAAATGTTTCCACTTAAGTATGCAAAAGGTTATCAATGGCACACATTGCGAACCTTCCTGTGAAAACAATAGACTGGCCCCACTAAAATAATGCAGTAAATAAACCAAGTAAATCATTTTATCTATGCCAAAGACTTGTCAAGAGCAGTTCTTTCCGGCCCCTATGCGGACGACACGATCCGGAAGGTGAAGAAACAATAGGGAAAAATATCATGCAGGAGTGGGTCAGGAGACAGGGGGGCGTGTCCGAGGTGAGCAGGTTTCCAGGGGAAGTGAGTCCGGGGCAAACAATCCAAGCATAAATCCAAAAGGGAAATCCAAAATAGGAGGCAGAGTCCAAGACCAGGGGATCCATCCAAAGTAATTTAAAAACCAGAACCAGATGGGGACTGGCGGGACAAGGAATCAGGAACAGGAAACTAAAACCATAACGGAGCCAGACGCAGCAGGACCCCGGGCTCTCACGAAACGGGATTCAATGAGAAGCCCCAGGCAAACGCCTGCGTCTGGCTTTAAAGGTGGAACTAAAGAGGGGCTGGAATGAGGAACAGGTGTGGGGAATGGGACAGAACGAGGAAGGGCTGGAGCGCCCTTAAGAGGAGGAGTAACGATCGTGACAAGACTTTTCTTTGGATAGCATGTTGTAGAGAATTACAGAACAGTCAAGTATAGTTCACATTTTTTAACATAATGTATTTGTGGCTTATTAGACTTTTATTGCACATGCTGTTAAATATCTCTTTGCCTGCTGGAAACAGTAGGCATGCTGTAGATTGCTGGTCTGTGATCTAGAACATGCTTAGTGAAAAACCTCAGATAATTCAGTTATAGTATGTTGAAAGGTATTCAAACCACTAATTATGCAAAAAGAAAAGCGAATAACCCTTTTGTTTTCAACAGTTCCAAATAATGTGTTAATAAAATTTCAGTTAATGATCCTTTGGATAGATGATTATTAAAAGCTGTTGCGATCAACTTTTTATTTTATTCCTTTAAGTGTTCTTTTTCACTTAATTTTTACTTATATGTTCTTGTTTTCTTTGTTAATTATTTTTTCTATGAGTTCAAAAATTAATAATTTTGGATTACTTTCAGTTTTTCTAAATAAATTTGAAGACTTTTTAAAACCATAATAATTATCACTTTATCATTATACTGTACAGGATGTGTGTATCATGTCATGGGGTCTCCTTTCTAGCTTTAGATGGATGTTATACAACAATGTGAATTCCTTGTACTATTAGCAACCAAACGAGAGATTGTAACCTTTCTTATGCTTTGATCTATGAAGAAACAGAGCCCAAAGCAACATTTGAGTAGCTTGCATTCACATCTTTTTACAGATAAATGTCTTAATGTCCACTATACTCTTCCCTACAAATGGGAGATCTTCAGTGGTCTTTCTTGGACAGAGCTTCCCAATATGGAGAAAATAGAAGAAGCATTTTGTAACCCAGAAAACACAAAAAGGTATGAAGTCCTTTTTTCTATTGATTAAATACAAACATTTTTTAATTTAATATTGATTCAAGATTGGTTACATTTTTGAGAGCAGTGGGTGATCTGATCTGGATTCAGCTCAATGAATCCTGTTATGTTTTAGAATTATATGCAACTGGTAGAACTGGTGGGTAGATGTATGGTTTGAGAAATCATTTTAGGATATTTAAAGTACAGTAAAATCTCGATATTCCCACATTTTTATTGACCACTTTTCCCCCATTCTTGACCACAACTGCCTATTTGCAGGCTGTGCAGTAGGCGGGTTAATGCAGGCACCCACTTCTTTACCTGACCAATGTGTGCTGCGTGTAGACCTGTTATCAGAGTAATACCTGGATGTTAGTAGTTGTTTTGAGAAATGAAAGAAACAAATTACAAATGGTGTCTCTTCAAATTATCATAGTGCACCAGATCCCCCTTAGATGGTAGCGTAGCAGGGGGAACCTGCACATAAAACCATCCCTTTATATGGGATCAGCGGTCAAACCTGAAGTGCCCAACCCTGTACTTGTCCGCATGAGTGCGGCATAACATGCACTTCAGAGAAATGAGTAGTAATGGAAAACCTAGTTCTGTTTGGGCCAGTCCGCTCTACCTGTCTTCTGATTTACCAGCGGGCTAGCATGCCTATGACCAAGGCTGCTACTCATTAAGTGATTTTAGTTTTGAACTCAAACAATATTTTTTATTTCCCTCAGTAACTCTTACCCTGAGATCTATCCTCTCCATGTCAAGGAGTCTGTGAGAGTTTGTCTACTCTAAATGACTTTTATTGGGAATCGGTGTCCACAGGTACAGACAGTTGCTAAATTTCCACAGCAAAAAGTGAAGTTTGCCACATTTGGAAAGTCTCATCATCACCCTTTGGTGGTTCAACCCCATTTTCGCATTCCAAATTTGGCTGCCCTTTTACACACAGTTATTACAGTCTCATTTCTCTTGTGTCTCTCCAAAAAAGGATAATAAAATAAATTAAAAGAAAGAATTTGTTGTACTGCATGTGGGAAAGAGTAAGTTGGTTGAGTAGAAAGGCAGTGAGTAAACTTAAATTAAATTCATATCTGTTATTACTGAGCTTTAATAAACATTATTACAGTACAGTAGTGCTGCATTTATAATAGTAATAAAACAAGAAGTAAAAAACAAAATGTGCTCTACTGAGAAAAATAAATACAGGGTATTAGATATTGGATACCCAAATCTAATACAGTGTAAACCATAATATTGTTGCAATTTATTTGTTTTCACATGCAACCACTTTAATTACTGGGGAAATGCTGTTTTAATTTTTACAGTATTCATTTTCGATAAAAATAGTTATTAACTATAAATCATACTTCTGAAATGGTTAACAGTTGAAGCAAATACTGATTTTTGCAGATTATTTTCCCCATAAGCTCATTCATGGAGACTGGTACTGTACGTAACCTTCGCAAATACCGAGGATTTACTGTACACTTGTTGTCCTGAATATTGAACTGATCTTCCTGTTTTCCGATAAGGAAAAATGAAGGCTTGTTATCAACCACCGGTGATTTCGTTGCAGTTCTCTTGTAAATAAGATACACTACCCCACTGTTTCACAGGGAAATAAAATATAGTTCTTGATTTATACAGCAGATACACTCCAAGTGAGAGGGTTGAACAGTTATGTGTATTTATTTAGGTAATATGTTTATATATATTTGTACTAAAAGTTTTTTTTAAACTACATGCTAATGTTTATTTAGTATACAATGTGTGGGGAAGATTTATTAGTGGGTAGTGAATACTGTGGGAAAATGAGTCATGAGCCCACATGAGCTACTCAGATTATTTTTTGTGTTTTTTCTCTCAGCCTTTTAAAAGCTATTTATTTTCATAATGCTTGTAAGTAATGTTACACATTTTTTTGGCAAATTTTGTTTAATAACTTCATTTATTAAATATTGTGGTAGCTTACTTTGTTTTGGTTTTATTTTGTAAGTTTATATTATATAAAAATAGAGTACAAACTAAGACAACATAGACATTTTATTGATTTATTTATAAACATGAGACAATGGCAGATAAATGGTGGCTGGAAAAACAGTGAGCCAAATATGTTTTCATTTTCTAAAAGCCAGCCTAAATGTCTTGCTGTATTTTGTAGTTATGGGTCCCCAGCTGTGGACTTCCTGACGATGACCCAGAGATCATCAAATGTCAGACGTCTCTCCACAGTGTCCTCTGTCACCAAACCTGCACACTTTATTCTGACCACTAACTGGCTTTGGTACTGGAAGGATGAATATGGAAAATGGAATGAATATGGAAAAGAAGTAAGTCTGAAGTAACTGCATTTAATCATAATTCATGATTTAAATTACATGATTGTCAACTACAAATTTTATTTTCTAAAATAGTAAATTATCGTTAGGACCAAATAGTAAAGAGATTGTTGGTTCAAGCTTGGGTTATTGCATTAGCTTTCTGTGACAGTGTTTCCATAAGAGGTGGCAGACAACCACGTAGGCTCTTTGAGGGTTAGGTGGGCAAAAGTCAGACAGGACTTCTTCAGTTTGCCATACAACAGTGACTTTTGATATCGTCTGGATGCCAGTCAGGTTGTATTGGCATCAGAAGGACTTCTACTGTTGAGCCTGCAGCATGTCAAATTACTGTATATGCAGTATAGCCTTGACAGGAGGTAGTGAACGAAGTTGATTGAGATTTGGCCAATCTAAATCTAATGTGCATAAATTTGAATAATTTCAAAATTAAAGAATGTGTATTTTTTTCTTCCCCCAGTATTATACATTCAAATGTACTTCTTTTTAATCCCTTGAATATCTCTGGAAACTTTGAATATTTATTTATTGTGAATGCATTTCAGTTTCTGAAATGTTTTGAATAAAAAAGTGTTAAAACTGTCTAGAAAAGATTTCCTCCCACTAATCAGTTTGTGCCTTGTATATAGTATATATTTAGATCTATTGAATCTGATGTTGGCACCCACATAAAGAATGTTCCCCAGATGAATAATTGTGCTTTTTCTTCTTCCTACTTTTCAGTATGAATTTAACCTGCAGCTAATGCAGCTCTCCATGAGAACAGTGTTGTACTGTAGTTGACTAGATTAAACTTAATCACAGGGACATACTGTAGCTAGGAGTACAGTTTTTATTTAGGCATTGGTTTGCTCTCTGGAGTGGCATTCCCCTTTCTGACCTGGTGCTCTCCTTTCCCCTCTCACTCATTTTACACACTTTCATTAATTCTTCAGGCTTATCTTCCTCTGCTGCCTCACTGTATTTTGCATGCCTGTATATTCTCTAATAAATACAGTTGCAATGCTACAATTAAACTATTGAAATATTGAATATTGAAATGGTTAGCAGCCATTTTATTTGTATTTACCATGTATTTGTATTTTTTTCCCTGCTTCCAGACATCCACACATAATGCCTCATCAGTCACATCTGAGATGATTGAGAAAGCTTTCTTAGAAGATGGAAACAGTATTCTCACTTTCAGTGCTGGAAAGCATCAGTATACCCTTGATTTTAAAAGTAACTACCTTTTTCTTTCTCTGTTGTTAGCATGCTTTAAATATCATAGATTTTTTCCTCTTCCATTACATTTTACATAGTTGATTTCTACATTACTTGAAAGTAAATGCATGTTTCTTCATTATTTAGCTCTTTAGTGTTAAAGCGATCAGATGTTTTCAAATTTTAAACTACATCTACAGTACATCTGTAAGCTTATACAGTATTTTTTCTTAGTTGACGTATTAGAGCTCATATAATCGTAATCATCCTTAGTGCTACACCTATTCTAGAAAATAATACACCAGGGTGTTATTCCACTTTCAACTACCTTTTATTCTGTTTGTTAATATACTGTATTTGAATTACAAATTAGTTTTTTAAGCTAAATCTTGGGCACTGGTAGTCTGTGCTTCCCTCAGTTTATATTAACAAACAGCCACACTCAGATTAAAAACATACAATATGCTACAGGCATACATAAGCAGAAATACATAAATTATAGATGATATGGACAATATGTCCATTTGCAAGCAGTATTTTCTAACTGCATTACAAGTTGTTTGATTATTCAATTACGTGAATGTAATGGTTAGCTGACTCAATTTGACCAAAAACTGACTGAATAACCTTTTTATCATTTACAGTTGCTTTGCAAAATACCTAATATACAAAACAATGCAACAGTTAGAACAGTTAGAAGATTGAATGTCTCTTGATGAGACCAAATTTTGTTGCCACAAGTGATTCAGGAATATAAAACTTCCATCACGATTTGGCATGCCCAATATTATTATTAGTAGTAGTAATAATAGTAGTAGTGGTACAGGCAACAAAAGTACAACCACTCTCTACCAATACACTTCACAGTATCCGTGTTATTCTTTTTTGTTTATTCTTTATTATTAGTAATAGAATAAAGGTGGTTATTAGATATGTTAATGTAACTCGTGTTGTCAATTATATTTATCAAGAACAATATGAAGCCTAATCAGGTACTAGCATAATCTCCATTATTGTGGAGTTCTCATGCAAACAGGTTGGCCCAAAGTGATTTTCTAGTCTGTAGAGGGAGTGTTGTGAATGATTTCAGTCTTTTGCATGAAAAAAGTTTTTCTGAGTCACGTATTGCATGCATTGCAGTGAGATAAACCACCATCTCATACTAACTACAACTTGCACAGTAAAAATCATTTAAGTTAATATAGATATTTCAAAATAACTTTTCGGATGCATCAAAGATGCCCAATAGCCTTATACACAATGCCTGCCACCTTATCCTGTTTTTCAGTTAACGCACATATAAAATCTGTCTAAAAAAGAAAATTGTGTGGGCCCACCTTGAGTATAAGCCCTAGGCAAATGCTTAGTTTGCCTTTGTGATAAGCTGACCCTTTGGTTGCAGTGATCAGTAAAGGAAAACAGAAGAACACATTTGTTAAAATAGGAAAAAAGTTCCAATTTCAATTAAAACAGTTTTGTTAATTGTAAAGAGGAAATATGTTGTAAAATCTGGTTGTATGTTTATTGCATCCTTAGGATACTGTAACATGTATAGACCACTCAGAAAAATCATCATTTAGTTCAACTAGTTTTTGACAAAGGATGATGGGGAAATGACAGATAACAGTTACAGGTAATAGTAAGAACTTTAATACTCTTAGTTGATCTTTGTAGTGAACATAATAAGTATAGTGAAACTCTGGCTATTATCAATGCTATTAGTTTGAACCGTTGAATGACTGTGTCAGATTTATTATTTATATGTAGATAAAAATGTGTTAGAATTGTTAGGATAATTGCTGTATATTAGTCTTGTGAATCGAATATTAACAATTCATCCAACCAGCAGATGGTGACAGTTTTCTGCTCACTGTTTTAAAACAGGTTTTACTCAATTGGACTTTATACAGTATGTAAAGAGAAAAATATAAATAGATATTTTAAGTTGCATCTCTTTTTTAGTGTATGGTCTCAATGTTAAAGGGCTAAGTCAAAAAATGGAAATGTTTCACAGGAATTTGTTGTTTCATGATTTGCATCTGGCTACAAAATACCTAGTGGTGTAACAATAAAATACACATTAATATTTATATGCAATTGTATGCCACATAGAGACAAAAACATGTTATTCACTACTAAAGTAAGACCATTTTAAATAAGGAGCCTATGGTAACTTCTGAATTAAGGGTAAAAATACAGTAATTACTGTGAGAAAACAAACTGCTATACAGTAATACTGTATATACAGTAATCATGATCATCAAAGAAAAACAATACACCATTTATTCCTACTCTTTTTCTTTCATTAAATACAGGTTTGATCTATAGTCATATCTTGGCAATAAACATCTTGGTATTTCTTATAGAAAAGGCTGTTTAAAATGTAATTTAATGTTTTAACAGTGTGTTTCAAAGTTTAAAGAAAGAAAGGGGAACTTGTTTTAAATTGATGCTACAAATTACTGTCAATATAATTTCTCCTGGGCAGACATGCATCAACAGAACCAGAGCCTTCAGACACAACGAGAGGTGTGCAGAAGACCAAAATTTATTTCTGTTCAAGATGTGGAAAGAATATTAAAGAGGTATTTCAGAATCAGTTTTTCTACATTTTTGTCTACTTCTAAAGTAAGATATTGTTCTTAATATCTAGTATCAAATTATATAAAAGCTTTCACTTCAAACACCTAAAGCTAAATCTCACAAAGTTGTTTTCAGGGTTATAAAAACATCACACACACAAGAAACAACACGGAAAAGTATTTGAAGATACCATTTGATTATTCTTATTTAAAATGATAGATATAAATTATATAAATCATTAAATACTTTAGAGTTCCATGACTTTCATTCTTTAGCTGCAGTATTACCATTACATTAACTTCACATTGTATTTGTGTTTATAACAAATTAAGTCTTAAGTTTATACTATGGACTGCTTTGTTATATATACATACACAGACAATAGTATCAGTTTAAGTAATATTAAGTGTTTTAAAAAATCTTAAATTTTAAATAAATAAAATTGTTATTTAGCTTCAAGTAAGGCAATAACAACAGTAACAGTATAAACTGTCTATCTGTTTTGGCATCATTATGTTGTAACATTAATATAGTACTCTACAACAAAGATCAACTTTAAGCTTTCTTACAGAGATGTAAGAAAATATTGTAGCTTTGTACAGAAAACATTGTAGCTTTGTACAGACTTATTTTTGTGCAGTTACTTCAGTGTTAGAAGAGCATGCATACAAAAACTATTAATCACATTTTCTTCCCCAAAAAGTGAATCTTCTGGGACTCCATCCTTTCCAGTTAATTGGGACCCAACTGCTGTGCCTGGATGTGGATTCAAGGTAACAACTTAAGTTAGAAAAAAACTGTGAGAGGGAAGTTCCAAGAGTCCACCCACTTTGTACAATTAACTTATTTAAAGTCAACTTTTATGTCTTCTTCTTTAGTGATTGTCGCTGGAACTAGAAATTGTAGAATGATGAGAAATACTCAATTAGGCTTTCACTGGTCAAATTTAATATCTCCGCAAGTTACAGTATATTTGGGTGGGTGATGATACATTATGTAATTCTTGACATATGAAGCACTTGCTTTGCATGCATGTTATGAATGACTTAATGATTAAAAAGAAATAATACAAAGCATAAGACTTTGTAGATATAGACTGGACTATACTGTATCTACTTTGTGCTGTTAATTAATCTAAATGTACAATGAAGAATGATAAGAAGTGTAAAAATGAATGTTATATCTAAACGTTGAAATTTCAAAACAAGCGTATTTTTATTTCCTTCATGGTAGCAAAATATTCTTTTCATTTTCCATAGTGTTTTCAAACCTCCACTGACCCTTTTAGGTGAGCTAATACCAGAAGAAAATTAATGCAACATGAGACCTCTGTGGCCTTCACATTAACCCCTTGTGTTTGTTCTCCATGAATGTGCATGCAGGTTTGAATGTATGGTTAAACCACCCATTCATGTTACATTAACCGCTCTTCCTTCATGCAGTATTAATGTGGTACAGCCATGTATATTTTTGGTGTGTTGACTGCAGTTTTTGAGCAGAGCGCTAAATCCACAATACTTTCTTTTTGTCATTTTAAACAATGTGACCCAAATGATGATTCCAGATTTTTTTTTCTTCTAGTAGAGAATTTTAATTTAAATCTGAAATAGTTGTATGTAAATCGATTTGTTTAAAAATGCTAGTATAAATAAGATACGTTTAGATTTAGATTTACCCTACAGAATCACATTAAATAAGGTCCTCTGCATTTCCAATCATTTCCATTAAAATTTGTATAATCATTTACCTGAAAATGATGCAGCACGATGGTGCCATGGATAGTATTGTGTGAGTGTGCATGTCTGTTTAGTGTCCACATGTCTGCCCAGTGATGGGCTGGTGGCTGTGACTCTCTCGGGACCCTGTATTGGATAAAGCATTCAGAAAATGGAAGGAAGGAAAATATGACTGTTTAAAAAAATGATTAACTCTTACCTCTTACCTTTTACCTTTTGACAGTGAAAATGATTTTTACCCTTTTCATTTTTCTAGTTAGTTCCATTGTCCATCTCTTCAGAAGAGTTCAATGATATACAAAATCTGTTCAAGAAAACCATGCCAATGGCTGACATCCATACAATTGAGAGGATCCAGAACCTGCATCTCTGGGAAGCATTTCAAATGTTTGTATTTTTTAGCACTATCAAAAACAATCACTTAATTCAGTAATTTAATTAAGTCGATCATTTTGTCCTGTGCTGTATAGTGTACTATAGTGGCTATGGTCATATTTTCACATTTTCAATGTTTAGTACATCAAATAAAGTAGGTAGAATGTACAGATGCAGCCATTCAAAATGCACGGTACAACCCTGTACCGCACACAATTACCCACAGGCCACTGCGTTGTACTGCGGTACGTGATTGGCTGACGAGAATGACCGACGGGCACTCGTGATGCATTAATTGTTATTGAAAAGATTTAATAATTTAATCTCTTTACTGTGCATGTTTTAATCTGCTTAGTATTGAATATTTATATGGAATTTTACAACTAAAGGGACATTTTAGTAGCCGAACATAAAAAGAAGAGGAGTGGCTGCATTGAATGGCTGCGTCTCTACTGTATGTTGCGCATAAACTCAAAATTGTTAGCTAATGGTTTCTTGCCCTAGGATTGGTTTACATCCAGTTTCTCATACATTTTTGTAAATCTGTCTGTGACATTAGGATGAATCAATCCATGTACTCCTCTAAATGGATGGTTTAAAAAAATAATTAAAATAAATGGCCACAAATGGCCACAGCATTGAATGGCTGCGTCTCTACTGTATGTTGCGCATAAACTCAAAATTGTTAGCTAATGGTTTCTTGCCCTAGGATTGGTTTACATCCAGTTTCTCATACATTTTTGTAAATCTGTCTGTGACATTAGGATGAATCAATCCATGTACTCCTCTAAATGGATGGTTTAAAAAAATAATTAAAATAAATGGCCACAAACCCAAAAGTTGTCAAGTTTCTCACCATAAATTCTAAATCCATGCATCAAATGTATTGTTACATTATGCCTCCTACATTTCCCTTCCTAATTTAGAAAGCAAACACACAATGAATGAGGATTTATAAAGGACAATTTAACTGTAATCCCACCTCTTTTCTTGATCTATCTGAAACCTCATGAAGATCAGATTAAAAAAAATTGCCTGTGTTTACTTGACAACATTTTTGCCCACTGTAGTTTACATGAAGAAATTAACCCACTTTTTAAATTTTCCGCCCTAACAAGCGTACAGAAGAAATGCAACAAATTCCATTCAAGTCATAATAATTCTCAAGAAGTCACCTGTGATTGAGAAACCCATGGCATCAATGATTTCCTTTAGTGTTAACACACCATGATTATGTGTGTATGATTATCATGTATTATGAAATTATTTTTTAGTGAAAAAATGAGTTAGCATATTACATTTACTGCTTGAACAATTTTTAAAATTCTGTGTAATAAACCAGATGACATTACATTTGTTGCACTCTTTTTTCTGAAAAAGAGAGCCAGACTTGCTTTAACTAAAGCCTAGTACATACAGTAATATACACTCAATGCACTTTTTTTTAAAAGGAAAAAGCAGGTGATGAAGAAAAGAAATGGAGGGATAGATGTGGATGAGCGATGTCTGTTCCATGGCACAAACAAGTCTTATATTCATGATATTTGTGAGCAAAACTTTGATTGGAGAATTTGTGGAAAACATGCCACAGCATATGGGAAAGGTGGGGAACAATACATTATTCAATTATATCTATATTCCATATAAATCTACAGTATGTTATGTACCTAGTACATAATGCTAAAAAATGTTGTATTAAATGTTAAACATTTTTTTAATCATTAATTTAATGGAATAGAAAAATAAAGAGATTGTAAATACCATCTGATTTTACTTTATTTTGTGTAAGGTTAGAATTTCTGTTTTGAATTATTTTATGTTTTGAGTCTCTGTAGTCTCCTTTTATTACTTTAAAAAGTGCTAATGATAATGGTCATTTTTGAAAATCTTAACAGCATGGCAATCTGAACAAAAATTAAAAAGAACAGAACCACAGGACATGTGTAAAGCATTATGCAACAGGTGAAAATGAAATATATTAAATCTTCCATTTTTCATCTTCTTTTCTAACATTATGCAATCCGTTGTCTTTTTTTTTACAGGAAGTTACTTTGCAAGAGATGCCAAGTACTCACACCACTACACTGACCACTCCTCTGTCCGTGCCATGTTTGTCACCAGGGTTCTAGTGGGCACATTTGTAAAAGGTTGCACTGAATATCTGGTTCCTCCCAACAAACCTGGCAGTACCAGCACGAATGACAGCTGTGTTGATAACCCCAATGACCCTTCAATTTTTGTGATCTTTGAAAAGGATCAGGTGTATCCAGAATACATTATACACTACTCCCAGGGATTGATCAATGATGGAATAGTTAAAAAACCACAGCAACAAACTTTAAATCAGTCCTCCTCATATCAGACACAAGTTCCACAGGCTCCAAAGTCTCCAGGAAGTGCAACATTAACTTCAAAGCATCCGATGTCATCACCACCACCAACAGATTCAACTTGTACTATACTTTAGTGACATGTTGTCATTTTAATATAAAAGAAATGTAAATGCTGAAATTATGCTGATCACCATGAAAATGTACAGTATATGCGATATACAGTATGTGGTGGATTTATTGCACTTGTCTTCTGTAGAAGCTGAAATCATCTTGTGATGAAATATTGTGAAATGATTCAGCTAATATTTTTCTGTTTAGAGAAACAATACAACATAGCAAGTATATAAACCATTACCTAAATGTAAAATGGATTTCTTAGCTCTGTACAGTTTCTGAAAAGGTTTCACCACACTGCCTACTCTCCGGAATCTTCACCCTAAATCTTTATCTACTGTATGCTCTCCATTGCCTTCTTTTGCATTCAGTAAGGAGATGATGCTGAGCTTCTCTATGTGCTAAATGCTGAACAAGAGAATGTCTCCAACAGCAGAGAAATGCAAATTGTATCAATTGTATGCTAATTTTTGTATAAAATCAAGCAAGCTGAAATTTGGTCAATACAAAATAGCCTCCTGAAATTAGTAATTTCCATTAGACACAAAAAATCAATTTTTAATCTTCTAATAAGTAGCAGAAGTCCCATCAGGGGATACATACTGTATTTGTTCATTGGCTTTATACACATTGGAAAAATGTAGGGAAAGTAGAAGTCAAGAATATTAAAAACGTCAACTGCATTGTTCTAATTAATTTCTTAGAAAACTTTAACAAGAAGCATATGGCACCATGCTAAAGAAGAGGTAGGCAATGCTTTTTAATTATTTTATAAATTACAGAAGGCAGGTCTGCTTCCCTTTGCTTTAACATTTCAAATAGAAATAGAATGCATGAGATCTGCTCACTCTGCCATTACTTTCTTAGTCCTTTTTTAGAAAAGCCACTTTATCAGTGCAGTAGATACCATAAGTGCCTGTCACAATCCAGCCTTATTCTCTTAAAAGAAACATTATGTAATACTACTGAAATTATCTTCATCCTCAATTACACTGACATGTTAAAGCACCTCTCTTGTACTTACTGTAGATATACAGACTGTTCCACAAATTCACACACGAGGAAGGCTCCACAGCCAAAACGTTGTGTTCCTTTCCTTCTCTTTTCAGCATGGAATAAACCTTTACTTGTTTCTTCATAAATACACTATGTCTTAATCCTACCTGAGCATAACTAGATTTGATAATGTACATCTTTGTTGCTTTAAATGCTAAAAATAAAAGATGGATTACAAACAAGTGGAGACCATTCTACCTTTCTTATCCTAATTTCATTGCTAATAGTTTATTGATCCTGGGATCTCATTTTACTGTTTCTTGAAGGAACAATTCTTGAAGAGTTGTTGATTCACAAATTCAACAATTGTTTCCATTGATTCTGTAAAGAGGTGTCTCCTGATTGCAGTCCTGTTAGTTCTATTTCATTTCTGATTGTATCCTTGAGCTCATTTCACTCTATATTCTTAATTAATAGTCTTTTAAGAGACATTGTGAACAATTGGGAGTCATTCAACCTATCTAACTTATCTTGTTGCTAGTAGCTTAAAGATCTTATTGGATTAATATTGTCACACGTTTTTCAAAATAGTATATACTTGGATCCGGTTTCTTCTGTATAGAGAGTTCACTTAACTTTTCTATGATGAAAACATTAACCTATGGCCTATGTCCAAAACCACCCCAGACATCTGAAGTGGAGATATGATAAACAAATGAAGAGTTATAAAACAAAATTGTAAAACCAATGAAAACAATGGGGGGTAGACGGGGGGGGGGGGGGGGTTGAAATTGACTCTTTAGTCAATAACTAAAAGTTTGTTTTTGTTTGTAACACTTCTGTTTGTATTTAGACTGATTAAACATACAGTAATACTTGTATAACAGGAGGGATAATAATAAAAGTAGTGAATAATCATTATTGTTAGAGAATGCAGCTATTGCCGTGGCTGAAATCAGCTGACCCACTTTCAAACTTTGAACATGACCTCAAGAAGGGCTGATCAGCTTACACTCTAGTGGTGGTACATTCAGATATGTACATCATTGCCATCGTAATTTTCACCACCCTAAATTATCATAACACAATGAAAGGGTTTCAGTTTGATAATGCATTTATCTTAACTTTCCCTGACAGTGTATGATATTTCATGTTAACAATTAAAAATTAACAAATAATATAATATGCATTTATGTATTTGTGTGTTTTTGCATTTAACATAAAAGAATTCCATAAATACGGAGACATGTTTTCATGTTTTAATGTAACCTTTCCCTCTAAACTTGTGTGCCTCTCATCAATAACAGAACAAACTAGCATGATTTTGAAATGACTACAAAAGTAATTGGACTATTTCTCAAATTTGAATTCTTGCTATAAAGCCTGAAGTCATGACACTGAATAAGCAATTAATATTTGTGATATAAAAAACGTACTCCACACATTTGTGGAGATGTGAGGGATTTTAATTTGCTGTAACAATTAGAAATTGCAACAGTAAATTACAAGAGTACTTTGATGACTGTTAAAGAGTCAATCAAACAATGAGTTATAGTCTTACAGATAAAAATGTAACATATGATTTATTGATACAGCAACAAAACATGCATAACAAACCAACAAGAATAATAGAATATAATTGTGCATCAATCTGCTGTGATACAAAATGTTGTATTCTTATTTTTCCTTGAGTAAATGAAGATGGATACAAAAATAAGAATAATGTCAGAGTATATATTGTAACTATAATGAATTATGGTCTACCTTTTAGACTACATCAGTCTCATATAATTAACCACATTTATGTTCTCAAAGACAGTAAAGTATGCATTTAGTATCATGAAATAAACTACCAAAAATGTTTGCAATTGCATATTATAATGTTGTAATCTTGAAAAGTATAATGTGAATATAGACATTTTATACTCAAAGATACACTAGGCAACCTTTCTTGATGAGTTTGAATTCTTGCTGAAGATGGAGTTGGCTGGGTGGTCTGTGATCTGACTTGTCAGCTACTTACTCTGAGCTGGAGAGTCCTGGTGCAGAGCGATAAGAGAGTGGAGTTTTGTCTAGCATTGCTGAGGAGAGCTCTGCAAGAACGTTAGCATCGCACTGAACTTGAACTTCTTTAAAAGCCTAAGGTACAGTTGTCTGCTTGGGTTTGGTCACAAGTAAGACGGGTGGGTGGTTCTGGCTGTACCTTTTACTGAAAATGCTCAGATATTCATAATGTTGGCACAAAGAGTTCAACTGACTGAATAACAATTGGTTTATGAAACACAAAATTTCTTCTGTTGCAGAAAGAATGATCTTGGGCAGAATTCTGTTCTTTACTGACTCATTCACTCGGCCTGGTATCTTGGAAAAAATTAAGTCCTAAGTTTGACTGCTTGCAGTCACATGGTTGGTAAAGTCAGAGTGTCAGGTTAGTTAGAGAGAAAAGATGAGCCAATGATGTAACCAATTAAATGAGTTGGGTGCTACCTTTATAAAGCAGGAAGCATAGTTGGTGATTGGTTAGGAAGTTATTGTGTAAAGTCCTAGTATCCACCCTGCAGGTCTCTCAGTGGTTGATCATCTTTTGGGTGATGGACAGTTACCTCTGACCCACAGTCTTGGGCAGTAGGGGAATAGCAGATGGGAAGAGCCAAGTTGTACCAAACAGTATATCATTAGGGTGTTTCAGAATGAACAGAGCTATACAATTTCCTTTTCTGTGTTCTAGACCTGGAAGACATTTCTTTTCAGTTAGGTCCCTTTTAGCTGCATTTCTGTGCTTTACATAGATGCCAAGGGTGCTTGGTCAAGGCAACAGTAAGAGTATTAGAAATAATAACACTTACTGTAATTCAAAGTGTATTGCAATGGCTTGCTGCCACACATTTAAAGCAAAGCACAAAAAGAAACAAAAGCAAACACACAATGTGAAAGAAAAATGCAAAAGATATAAATGCATAAGTATCCAAACCCTTTACTGTGGCAAAACTAAATTAGTTTAGGTGTACAAAATAACTTTAACAAGTCAAACAATAAGTTGAGTATTATAGGTCAGAGTCAGATGAGACTATGAAACTTGTCAAAACGGATGGGAACATAAACAGAGCATAGTACTGGCAAATCTAAGGGGAAAACCTGCTTCAGATCCAAAACTGTGACAAAACAGTCTCTCAGTAGAACAATGACCCATAACAATAGGCTGAAGCTACACTGGTGTGGTTTAAGGATAATAAAGTGAATGTCCTTGAGTAGCCATGTCAAAGTCCTGACTTGAATCCCATTGAAAATCAGTGGAAGGACTAGAAAAATACTTTCCATAACTAAGCTTCCTGCAACTTGAGCAAGTCTGCCAAGATGAAAAATTGCACCAAGCTAGTATACAAAGTTGATGGAGACTTACCCAAAAAACTGTCAGTTATTTCTACCAAATGTGCCTCCATCAAATATTAAGTTTATTGGTTTGAATTCTTATGCTATCTATATTTTTCATTTTTTTCACTTTACTTTTTCCTGATATTTATTGTAACTTATCATACTTTTTTAACTGAAGATTTAGTCATCTTCAATTTGAAAATTCAGGATTGTACAATGTGTATGCAACATTTTATAATTTCATAAATGGAACACTATAGGTAGGCTCTGAATAGTTTTGCAAGACACAATATTTCAGATTACATCTATAAAACCAAGAACTTCTTAACCGTCTTGATAGCTGTGTAGGTGACTCACTGGCTGTAAATTAAAAGTAATAATCTTAGGTTTGAACAATATTTTTAGCAAATAAATTTTAAAGGATAAATTATGACAAATTATCAAAATGTTAGTATGTCCACAATTGTGATTTAATTTGCATTGATGTTAAAAGTGACATATGACATGCCTCTTGTTGTATTGACCTTTTTGAAAAGAAACTGCATAAAAAAGAGCAATGTTTTTGTTTTAGATGTAAATACATGTTTCTATATTTTATGTAAAAGTCACCATTTATCCAGATACACATTAATTGCTTATTGCTTTTTATTTTATTTTCATCAGCCTAGTGCATTATCATGAACGTTTGACTTCTGTTAGACATCAGGCTTTTCAAAAGTTACAACACTTTAATAAAACTAATGGAAGTCAGTCAAATTTATTGCTCTTACTCTATGACTGGTATAGAAATTATTCTTTCACTTTTGACTTAGAAGTGTGTATAAAAAATAGAACGGTTGTTCCACTGGTAATCCACAAGATTGTACATGCATTGACCTGGTAAAGTATAGGTCATTCTTACACATGTTGCAGAGTGGTGGGGGCACCATTGAGCAGCTGGTGCAGCATGTCCTGGACAGCCAGCGGGCCAAGCCACAGCCGTGCACACACAGCTGCCTCTGCAGCAGTGGCCTGGGTGAGCGCCGTGCCAGACGAGTGTGGGAAGACAGGGGTAAAGTGGCAGAGAAAGCTCATGTCTAACTCCGGTTCTATTTTCTCTCTCTTTCCTCCTTCTGTCTTCCCCTCCCCCGTTGCACTCTCACTCTCAACCCTCCCTCTCCTTTCTATCCCCTTTCACGGCATTAGCTTGCTAGCATGCTTTCTGTCTTTTCCCATCTTAGTTTTGGGGATAATAATTTATACATCCTTGACTTCAATCCTAGTCCCTCACATGAGCCTGTTGCAGAAATCAGTTTTACATTCCAAAAATTGGGGGGATACAATTAGAGGCCTGACATACTCATAAGGCCAATGCTGAAGAGGTATAGCCCTCAGCCACTACATAAAAATGACTGCTACTTTAACAAAGCAATGTGTATATAATAATATAAATAATATTTTCACGTTTCTCGTAAGGCCAAAGCTGACAGAAGCCCTCAAAAGGATTAAAAAAAAAACTTGACTACAGATTTCTTCAATGATGGAGCTGTAGGTTTGTGTGTATTATATTTGTTTTGAGCAAGTTGGTTTGGAGATCCAAGAATTTAAGAGGAACAGAGATCAGAAAATGAGCACTGCAGAATGAGAAATGTTGCGGTGTAAGCCATCACATGCAATTTATTTTTGCATACCCCAGTCTGCTCTCCATGAGACACACAGACACAAAGATGGGGAGAGAGAAGCTTGGAGTCGGAGCGCAGGGAAAGCTATTTATACGGCGCCCCTGTATTCCTTGGAAAAGAAATTGATTACATGTCATGTATGTTTTGTTGTGTTCATCTTTTCATTTTGTTTTGAAAACAAACTTTAATTGCTTATTACTAATATCTAT